ATCCCAGCCTGCAGCTGGCTTTTTCAATTTCTTTTTTTGTTTTTGGCTTTTTCACATTCTTAATGATGCTTTTGATTAATGTAAGTTCTTGATTTTAATGTCCAGTTTTATAGCATCTTCTTTATTTTTGTGTCTTGTGTAAGAAATATTTGCACAAAGTCAGTGAGATATTTGCCTATATTTTTTCTTAGATGTTTATTGTTTTACCTTTCACATTTAGTTCCACAGCCTATATGGAATTTCATTGTTTATAATATAGAGGTAAGATTTCATTTTCTTCTATTTGTAGCTCAATAGACTATAAATCTAGCACCATTTATTGGCAGGGTCATCTTTCCCTGCTGCACTGCAGTGGCACTTCTGAAATAAGTCAATTAACCATATACATGTGAATGGAACTCTCTATTTTCCCCATTGTTCTAATGTTCTGATGGTGTCTATTGATTTGTCATATATTTTGTCTGATTTCTCTAGGCATTTGACATATGTGTAATATTATGAATGTTACCCTTTAAATTTTTATTTTATGCTTGTTTCTGATATATATAAATATAATTATTTGATCTTATATTCAGTGCCCTTGATAATTTGCTTATTAATTTCAATAGCTTTTTTATAGACTCTTTTGGACCATACACAGTCTCATCTATGAATACTGACAGCTTTATTTCTTCCTTTTCTGTCTTTATACCACTTTTTCCCTACCTTGTTGTACTAGCTAAAACCTCTGGTATATTGGTAAATAGATTGACATGGGGCATCCTTGTCTTGCCCCCAGTGGTAATGTGTACAGGGGATCTTTTAACTTTTTACTTCTAAATATAATGTTTCCTGTAGGCTTGTAGTTTAAATAATCATGTATCAGGTTACACAATTTTCCTTTCTTCCTAATTTGTTAAAAATTTTATCTTTATTTTTTATTAATTTTGAAGGGGTATTAGATTTTATGTATTTTTTTTTATTATACTTTAGGTTCTGGGGTCATGTGCAGATCATGCAGGATTGTTGCATTGGTACACACATGGCAAGGTGGTTTGCTGTCTCCATACCCCTGTCACCTATATCGGGCATTTCTCTCTATGTTATCCCTCCCTAAACTCCTTACCCACCACTGTCCCTCCCCTAAACCCCCCAACAGACCCTAGTATGTGATGCTCCCCTCCCTGTGTCCATGTGTTCTAATTGTTCAACACCCACCTATGTGTGAGAACATGTGGTGTCTGATTTTCTGTTCTTGTGTCAGTTGGCTGAGAATGATGGTTTCCAGTTTCATCCATGTCCCTGCAAAGGACATCAACTCATCGTTTTTTATGGCTGCATAGTATTCCATGGTGTGTATATGCCACATTTTCCTTGTCCAGTCTATCATTGATGGACATTCAGGTTGGTTCCAGGTCTTTGCTATTGTAAACAGTGCCACAATGAACATACGTGTGCATGTGTGTTTATAATACAATGTTTTATAATCCTTTGGGTATATACCCAGTAGTGGGATTGCTGGGTAAAATGGAATTTCTATTTCTAGATCCTTGAGGGGTATTAGATTTTATAAATTGCCTTTTTCTGCATTTACTGAGGTAAAACATAAATATCGCCTTGATTCTATTAATATGAATTACGTTCTTTGATTTAAAAATGTTAAACCACCTTTGTGTTTTGGAAATAAACCTAACCTTTCTGGGATATATATTAAATATATATATATATATATTTAATATAACACTATAGTTTATTTGATGACATATTAGGATTTTCCATTATATATTCTTTTGAAAGCTTCAAAAATTTAACAACACGAAAATTTATGTCAATAAGTAACAGATCTACATTGTCAATTTTAATGACTCAATGCTTTCTCATAATTATGTAGCATAATTTAAATTCATAATTGAATATTGGTTTTCAAAATTTTTTTGCTCTCATAAACAGCACTTTACTGTACACCATTGTGAATACATTTTTAACTTGTACCTATGTTCCAAATACTAATTAATACTATCTTTTGATATATATGTACCTAAATAAATGCTAATTGCTCAAGTATTAGAAACCCAGATTTTCTGGTTGCTTTCTATGTTTGCTGAGTAGTAGAAGCTCCCTAATGTATAATTATTGAGGTTGCTACTATTAGCTCTGACTGAAGATTGATACTTATTCAAAGGAAAATAGGACCTGGGAAGTCAAATATCTAAATACCTTAGTGCTAAAATGGAAAATAACATGGGAAAATGCTTTGTGAAACAATGGAATTCAGTCTCAGGAAACCTTAGACAATGACAAGAACAAGGGAATAAAGTAAGAAATACCCGGTTCACATACCAATTACCAGCTGTGTAATTTTAGGCAAATTAGTTCTTGCTGTAACCCTGTTTCTTCACCAGTACAATAGAAATATATGAATATTAGAGGATTATTAAGAGATTAAAATGAGCAGCTCCTACTACTGCATCTTTTACCGAGTTTTTATTTAATAAGTGGTAATTTGCTTCAGTTTCTCATTAGTCAAGAGGCTGTTTTTAAAAAGAAAGAGTCTAGAAAGAATTTGCTAGTTTTCCATTAAAGAGACTCAGAAAGAAATTTCTTTTCTTCTATCTTATTTTCTACGTTTCCATGTTTTTTTCTGTCCTTTCTAACCTTAATTCGGATTGAAACAATTATTCTCTATATTGTTATCTATTTTTTTAAGTATACATTATTTTCCTATCCTTTCAGTGGAATTTTTTTGAAGGCCATGGTTGTCAAAATGTGGTCCAGGGGATTCTAGGGGTGTCCAAGAGTCTTTCGGGGGTCTGAGATAACAATTATTTCATAAACAATGTTAATAGATTTTGCCCTTCCTCCCCTTTTCTTTCATGAATATACAGTGGAATGCTCTAGAGGCCCTACTGGGTGTGATATCACAACAGATTGAATGCAATAGCAGATATGATGATAAAACCATCTTCTACTAAGCCAGATATTTAAATAACTTGCAAAAATGTAAAAACAATACTATTATTGTCACTGGATTTCTTTGCTTTGAATAATAGTTATTTTTCATATAATTATATAATTTGTGTTAATATGTAATGGACTTATTGGTTTATTGCTTTTTTACTCTCTTTTTATTTTGTGTCTTTATTTTTAGAACTGGGGTCTTGCTCTGTTTCTGGGCTAAAGTGCAGTGGGGTGATCATAGCTCACTGCTGCCTCGAATGCCTAGGCTCAAGTGATCCTCTTGCTTCAGCCTCCTGACTATCTGGGACTACAAGCATGCATCACACCTGACATGCTGTTATTTTCAAATGAATAAACGAATATTTTTTAAAACTTCTCAGTTTTAATTTCTAATATGACCAATAATAAGAAATGTAACTCACAAAACAAGCTTGTTGGGGTCCTCAATTATTTTTAAGAGTGGAAAAATGTCCTGCAACTGCAATGAGAATCACAGCCCTAGAATCACATGCCTCCTTGATTTCATGCAGTTTAATATAAATTAGTACTTTAACTTCTTCCTTGATAATGTTGTGACCTAATTGTAGTTTATGTCCATTTCTGTTTCAGTCCTTTGTATTGTTTATATGCATCTTATTTCTGCCTATATATTTTTTTTAACCACAAGACTTTAACTTTTTGTACAGTCAATATTAACTTACATTTACTAAGATATTAATCTTTCCATTTTTCTTTATCCTTTCCTGAATTTATATTTTTTGGTAAGTAATGCTTTCTCTACTACCTGATTGAGTGCTGGACATTATTTTTGAGAAACTACTGGATATTGCATATTAAAAATAGCAATTCTGGATATTATCCTCCTATAGAGTGGATTCATTCTGTCCTCTGGTGGGCAGCCTGTTTAAAGACAGATCGCCTTGATCCAATCAGGAATTGAGATGATTTTGGCTTGGGTTTTGAGATTTTTTTCTTTTTTGAGTCTCAGTATAAATTTTGTGTTAGGGCTAGAGTATAGCTTGTTAGGGATCTCAACTAAGAGCAGCTGTGTTTACTAGAACCATTTCTGTCTTGTGGAAACTCAGATCTAAGAAACTACCTGAAAACTTGGCTCCACTGTTCAGCAGTTTTCTACTTAGCTTCTTACTTAGGCTACTGCTTCACACAGCAGATGAATTCAGCAAATCTCATTGTGGAAAATAGCAGTGTTCAGCTCACTTTTCTTTCTCTCTTCTCTCTGGGCTGAGATGTTGGTCATTAAAGTTCTGGTTCTCTTGACAGCCTCAAACTGCGCTTATTTACTTATTTATTGGGTCCAGTGATTCTTTTTAAATTTTACTTTAAGTTCTGGGATACATATGTGAAATATGAAGGTTTGTTATATAGGTATACGTTTGCCATGGTGGTTTGCTGTAGCTATCAACCCATCACCTGGGTTTTAAGCCCCGCATGCATTAGCTATTTGTCCTGAAGCTGTCCCTCCCATCCACCCCACCGCTCCCCCGCCCCCACTGGCCCTGTTGTATGATGCTCCCCTCCCTGTGTCCATGTGTTCTCATTGTTCAGCTTCCACTTACAGGTGAGAACATCTGGTGATTGATTTTCTGTTCCTGTGTTAGTTTGCTGAGGATGATGGTTTCCAGCTTCTTCCATGTCCCTGCAAAGGACATGATCTCATTCTTTTTTATTGCTACATAGTATTTCATGGTGTATATGTAACACATTTTCTTTATCCAGTCTATAATTGATGGGCATTTAGTTTGTTTACATATCTTTGCTATTGTAAATAGTGCTGTGATAAACATACATGTGCATATATATTTATAGTAGAATAATTTATATTCCTTTGGATATATACCCAGTAATGGGATTGCTGGGTCAAATGGTATTTCTGGTTCTAGGTCCTTGAAGAATCACCACACTGTCTTCCACAATGGTTGAACTAATTTATCTTCCCACCAACGGTATAAAAATGTTTCTATTTCTCCACAGCCTTAACAGCATTTGTTGTTTCTTTACTTTTTAATAAACGTCATTCTGAGTGGCGTAAGATGGTATTTCATAGAAAAATATGGACACTCACAAATTTGTGGGTCATCCTTGCACAGAGGCCATGCTCATCTTCTCTGTATCATTTTAATTTCAGTATATGTGCTGCCAAAGTGAGCACAAACTTCATTTATTTTTCTTTTAGTCTTGTGAGTTTCCAAAAACTCTGTTGCTTCTCTCCCTCCTATCCAGAGTCCTCTGCCTCACTTGCCAGTCTCTCACCTTATACTATAACAGGCAAATATCCCAGAGGAAAAAGCCACTTGTAGTGTGCTAGTTTACCTCTCTGTGCTTCTATTTTCTGCGATTTTGGTACCTCAACTTCTAGTTGTCTTGGCAATTTTCAGATGTCCTCTGGTTGTCCCCTGTACTGTACATGAATCTATAACAAGATAATCTACCATAGTAGGCCAGTGGATGTCTCAAAATCAACCAGGCCAGCTCATTAGAATGAGCTCATCATATCTGCTCCTTCACCTCAGCCTGCAGTAGTGTCCAGTAATTGTAAGAGGAGGTTATTACAAGGATAGACACTAAGAACTGTCTGAGTTTCATTCCTCATTTCTTTGTTTACCAGCTTTGTGTCTCTGTGAAGATCATTTATTTTTTTCTAAGCCTCAGTTTCCTCATCTGTAACGTGGAGCTGATCATAGAAGCTATCTAGAAGATTTGTGAGAATGAAATAAAATAATCCACCAATACTTATAGTGCTTGGCAAATAGCATGTGTTAGATAAATATTAACTACTATTAGTATCTATAGATTTTATGTAAGCACAATCATTACAAGGATTATTCAATATAACAAATTAAATGTAAATTACTTATATTCCTTTACAATGAATATTATTAAATAGATAAAAGCCAAGTTAGAATAAGTGAAGGATAGTTTTAATGGATTTTTATAATATATTTTAATTTGTTTTGTTGCCTCAATTTCATCACCTATAAATTTCATCACCTATAAAACATCTACTAGTTATATCTTTGGCCCCAGAGCCTAATAATGCTTAGGTGAGCTGTTTATATTAACATCCTCATCCTCAAACTGTAGTTTTATGTTAAAAGTTTAGGTAGTTAATTATAAACAAATAATCAAACTCCTTCCCTTCTTCTTCCCAAATAACATTTTGATGCTACTATGTGATTCTAGATATGTAGCAGGAATATTTACTTAAGCCTAATTTTTATTCTGAGAATTCATGTACATCAGGGCAGATTCCCAAGCCTCGTGGAAAGTGCCTACCTACAGGCTTGTTTCAAAGGAACTCTGGGATAGAATGTACTTTAACTGAAAACAAGTGAGATACATACTTGCTTGGTTAAAAGTACAATTGGCTATGGTGAGAGCAGAGAGGGTTTTCTGAATGTAGAATATGTGCTATAATTTGGGTCGTCCTCTGCCCCGGTCCATCTGGAATCTTGCCTGAGTCTTAGCCTGAGGCACTGTAATGACACTGAGCAAAAGCTAAAAGGGCTGTTTCATTCCAATCTCCTACGTGGATGAGAATGCTTTACATCAGCAGCAGTGCTGCCAGGTGCTCCTACAGAGATAGTAGAAAGCAGTAGACTGTGCCAGTGGTTTCAGTAGCAACAGATGAAGCCAGTGCCCTTGTTGTAGATATTAGCTCCCTCCAAAATGAATAGTGGCAGACTTGATGCTAATATGGGTAAACACTGGAACCTGAAGCAGTGCTTCTGGCAGGAATCAACATCAATTGCCCCTTTGCTGGTCTTGTGACTTTCTGGCATTCGTGTTTATAGGATACCTGGTCAAAGAGACAGGAGTAGAAAGAGCGTTGGGGAAAGAGGGATGGAGAATGCCAAAGTGTAGTTATAGAACACATGGAAAATTCTCCTTGTAGACCCCCAGAGCTATTTGGAAGATGTCTGAAGGAGGTTGGAATTTCTACAGAGTAGGTAGAGGCAGAGCCATGCTTTGTGACTGTCATTGTAATATGTCATTATCCCTTGGCTAGAGTAGCTTGGGAAATACAGGGCTTGAGAATAATAATAGTGGTAATAATACAGGAACTACTACAGTTTTCCAAATCAACAAAATCTAGAGAACTGCCATGCATACTAATATTTACCATTCATTTAGCTTCCAGGATCCAAAGGAAACAGGTAAGTATGCTAAATCTGACATTAAAGAAATATAATCTTTTAAAGGACAATGAAACAAAAACTGAAACAGCCTCATGGGAATGTTTAATTATGGACATAACTCCTATGGTAATTGTTTGTGGATGAGATTAAAATCCACTTAAGAATATATCTCATTGTTTTAAGATCACAGCTTGGATTTGGACCAAAATGGTGTTGTTACACTGCTTGTTTACTCACCTTTCTACCCTTTGGGTTTCTGTAAGGCACAGTCAACAAATGATAATATTGATGTTGTCAAAGCTCAGTTTTGCCCACAAAGAGGAAATACATTTAAAAATATGCATCATAAACTCTGAAGAATTTATCAAAAAGGAGTACTAGGGAAATAATTCGACCAATACAATTCTCCATTATATAAGAAAGTATTTTGTAGATATTGCTTTACAACACCCCATATTGATTTTTTACAGTTCATATTTTTTCAAATACCACATCAATTCACCAAGTGGCCATTGAATGCTTACTAGTGCAAGATAGTAATGAAATAATCAGAGAAATGGATATAGAATTGCAACTGTAATAAGTCCTAGAGAGCTACATAGCACCATGAAAATGTATCTTTTCTCAGGGGTCAAAAAAGGCTTGTTCAGGGAAGTCACATCTAAATACAGAAATAAAAGAAGAGGCCAGGTACCTTATCTTAAGAATTAGTATTCTTAAGTCCATTTATAGGCTTGTGGCTCACACCTGTAATCCCAGCATTCTGGGAGGCTGAGGCAGAAGGCTCACTAGAGCCCAGGAGTTTGAGATCAGCATTAACAATGTATAGAGGCACTGTATCTACTAAAAAAAAAATTACCCAGCATTGGGGCTCACATCGGTGTTCCCACTATATGGGAAGTTGAGGTGAGAGTATTGCTTAAGCCCAAGAAGTTGAGGCTGCAGTGAGACATGATTGTGTCACTATTCTCTAGCCTGGGGTGACAGAGTGAGACCCTGTCTCAAACAGCAGATGACATGATTGTATATGTAGAAGACCCTATCCTCTCAGCCCAAAATCTTCTTAAGATGATAAGCAACTTCAGCAAAGTCTCAGGATACAAAATCAATGTGCAGAAATCACAAGCATTCCTATGCACCAATAACAGACTAACATAGAGCCAAATCATGAGCAATTTGTCATTCACAATTGCTACAAAGGGAATAAAATACCAAGGAATACAACTAACAAGGGACATGAAGTACCTCTTCAAGGAGAACTACAAACCACTGCTCAAGGAAATAAGAGAGGACACAAACAGATGGAAAAACACTCCATGCTCATGGTTAGGAAGAATCAACATTGTGAAAATGGCCATACTGCCCAAAGTAATTCGTAGATTCAATGCTATCTCCATCAAGCTACCATTGACCTTCTTCACAGAACTGGAAAAAAAAACACTTTAAACTTCAAATGGAACCAAAAGAGAGCCCACATTGCAAAGACAATTCTAAGAAAAAAAAAAAAAAGAAAGAAAAAAACACACACACACAAAGCTGGACCCGGGGACAAGATGGCTGAATAGAGACAACTCCTGTATGCAACACCCAGTGAGAGAGATGCAGAAAATGAGAGATCTCCTAGCTCCAACTGAGGTATCAGGCTCATTTCAATGGGTCTGGGCAGACAATGAGCAAAGCCCAGGCAGGGCAGAGCAAGGCAGGGAGGGGTGCTGCTTTACTCAGAAAGTTCATCTGACCAGTGAGTTGGGTGCTCCCCTCTGGCACCCCAGTCCATATATGGTGCTTCCACCAAAGCCCCAGCAATCCACAGAACAGGGGATCTTTGCCGGTCAAGTATAGAGTTGGATAATAATCCAGGCTGGTGCCTTGGATTGTTGCACAGATCTAAGCAAATGCATAAGCCCATAAGCCACTGGGAGAGTCTGCAGACTGAGCTATCACCCCCTCCCCACTGCCTGGAGAGAGAGGGAGCTGAAAGCAGGAAGACAGATGGGGCAGCTGGGTGAGCTCCTCCCCCATGACTGGAGAGAGAGGGAGCTGAAAGCAGGGAGACAGACGCTGCAGCTGGGTGGCTCCCTACCCTCCCCAACAAACCCCAGCAGCCTGAAGCACTAACTCTAGCTGGTTTCACAGCCAGTGCCTCAGTCTTAGCTGAACCCTGAATGAGCCAGCTCTGTGGAGGAAAGGGGCAACCCCCCACTAAAGAGGCGGGCCTAGTCTTCGGGTTTTAACAAGAAACATAGGAAGCCTATGTAGCAATGGGACAGTGTCCCTGACAACCCAGCAGCACTTCCAGGTCAGCAGAAGGAGGGGTACCAACCATTAAAGAGGTGGGCCTAACCTCCCAGTGTAAACAAAAACACGCAGGAAGCCTATGTAGCAACCTGGAGGAGTCCCTGGAAACCCCATAGTGCCTCGACATGCAGACAAGTGACCTCATCAAGCAGCTTCCTGAGATCAGAGCTAGCTAAATCCATGAAGATGAGAAAAATGGAGCACAAAAAGAATGAAACCATTAAAGACTAGAATGCCTCTTCTCCTTCAAGGGATCACAACTCCTCACCAACATGGAATAAAACCTGACAGAGAAAGAGTTTGACAAATTGACAGAAACAGGCTTCAGAAGGTGGGTAATAACAAACTTCTCTAAGCTAAAGGAACACGTTCTAACTCAATGCAAAGAAACTAAAAACCTTGAAGAAATGTTAAACAAAATGCTGACTAGAATAACCAGCTTAGAGAAGAACATAAATGACTTGATGGAGCTGAAAAACACAGCATGAGAACTACATGAAGCAAACACAAGTTTTAATAGCCGAATTGATCAAGCAGAAGAAAGGATATCAGAGATTGAAGATCAACTCAATGAAATAAAAAGAGAAGGCAAGACAAGTGAAAAAGGAGTGAAAAGAAATGAACAAAGCCTCCAAGAAATATGGGATTATGTGAGAAGACCTAATCTATGTTTGATCGGTGTACCTGAATGTGATGGGGAAAATGAATCCAAGCT